CAAATATTCCAGGCTTTAGAACCGTATTGGGCTTTACACATCTGATGTAATGTGGCTCTGTAGTGTTCAAGGTCTCCATTAAAGATTGCAGTTGTTGCTGCAAATTGAAGTTCCGTTTGAAAATAAATCAGGTTCATAGGATATTTCTGAAGTAAATATACTTGTTTCTATCCTGTTTACAGACTTACCTTAAACCGTGTGCCGATGGATGAGAACTTGGACTGCTTGGACGATTCTTCGGGCAATGGAGGGAAGAGGTTTGCAATGAAAGAGCACTTTGAGTCCATCAGAAGAGCTTGAAATTCTGCTATCACATAGTCCTTATTTTTGTCAAGGAAGTGATCTGCTTGGTAAGTAACCTGTTTGATCAACGAATTAAGATGACCAGAATTCTTTGACTGACAAATGATTGACTAAATATCTCAAGTTAACTTACATCACCAGCGTAATGATTGATTGTAAAGTCAGTACGAGCAAGTTTTGGCTTGCTAAACCGTTTATGGGCTCTGTATGTCTGGTACATCTTTTGGGCAAATGTCTCATGAGTTGCTTTTGGGAACATACTGTGCAAGAAAAAAAGTTAAGTTATATCTTCTCCTTTAATCATTCTTTATGATTCAGGAAAAAGACGTTATACACTGTTTTGAGAATTTAATGACTGTCTAGCTAATTATCCTACTTTCACTGGTAAAAATTGGTGTTGAAAAGAGGAAGTTTGCGTACCAAGCTTCATCAAGAAGAGCAATAATGCCTCCAGGTTTCTGCAAAATTGATGAAAGGTTATCAAAGGTTTGCTTGTTAAATTAAAATAACGTTACAAAAATGTCTACAGTCAGAATGACGGTACCTTCTCAATAAGATCTAAAACATCTTGGTTATCTACAAACTCCACATAACTCCAGTTGATTTCTTCTGTCGTATAGTCGTCTTGTTCCATCTTGAATACGTGCTGTAACAACAGAGTTTCTATTTAATATTCTATTTATTTTAAATGGGAGTGAAAAGTGAAGGCACTGAAGAGTGAATAAAGGTTCTCATGATTTACCTGGTTAAAATGCTGCTGCAACTTCTCATTTGTTAGGTTGATGCAGAATTGCTCAAAACTGACATTAAGCATTAACTGAGCTGTTAAGTTTGTGGTAAAGATTTTACACTCAGAAGTCGAGAAAACAATTATCCAAACCTATTGATTTTGAAGCTCTCAAAGCCATATATATCAAGGACGCCAATTATGCTTTTTGCTTCAGGATCCTGTCCAATTGAACTGTTTATCTTGTCCACAAGCCTGCCACATAGGAGCTGTCAAAAGGATTTCATTTTGAATGTTTTTTCGTGTAGCTGAATCTAGAGTTATGTTAGATAATGCTAATTAACTCAAGAAATAGAATTTCTGAATGTCTTTTTGAACTAATATGATACTGACTCACTGTGGCAAGCAGCCATCGCTCTTCTAGAGATTGACTGTCTGCATGTCAACAGGACACAAAACACTACTATGGGCTGGTTTCAAAATTTGAAACTAAAATAGGAAACCAGGCTTGAAACATACATAACATCATTCAATCACAATAAGAAATTTCAGCTAGAAAAATTCTCCATTATCTTCAATCCTGTCTGATCACTCTTCTATACGTTGAATCTCTTTTGTTCTTTATGAGAAGCCCAGTTAGTTATAACTTTATTCTTTATAATCAGAACTATAGTGATAAGAGAATTAGAAAATTTTGGTTTAATTATGCATTATTTGTGGCTTCCTGTGATAATCCAGAGCTTCATTAGGAAAAAGTTGCGACATAGATGAAGTCAAATTCATGTGCAGTAAATGTTATTGCCTATCAGGTTCCAGGTTATTCTGTATTTCTTTCATAATAAACTTGTAACTTTTGCTCTCCCTCGCTGTTAATGCTGTAAGTATCCAATCGTTTGGAGTTGAGAAAGTTCTTTTTTGCTTTGTTAGTACTAAGATGTTCCCCTCTCATGAGCTTAGATACCACCCACAGTTTTGCAGCTAGGTAGAGACTTAGTCTGGGAGCCACATTCTATATATTGCTTACCAGTCGAACAATCTGGAGTATACAGTCTTTGCCAGGGCATCCCTGCTCGTGGTTGCAGCTGCGGGATCCAGTAGTTTTGTGATGTTTCCATCAGGAGTTACAATGACACGCTTACAAAGTGAGTCTTCTAGTGCCTTCTCATCACACCTGTGCATATGTTTATTAGATCAAAGTTTAAGCGCCTTGAGTTCTGAGTTGAGGTAAACTAAGGTATATCCTCTTACATGAATAGCTCTGCAGCTGTCTTCAGATGAAAAAGTGACTTCTCATCTTTTAGTTTGGAGGAATCAGCCTCCTTTCCTTTCACAAAGTTGATGTTTCCGAGATGGAGTATTGCAGCTACAACACGAAATATAGCATCCTACAGAAATGATAAGTATAGGTTTTAATATATTCTTGGTGCATAATGGGATTTTTCCAATTGCTTCTATGTTTGGGCACACACCTGTTCCTCCTGACCGATTCCAACAACATCCATAGCATTTCTGGTTTCAAGATACTCTCTTGCATCGTCAACATTTGCAACTTCGTAACAGTTACTTTGGTTTAGATAATGAAATGTTTTTGGATTCCCAAGTTTGAATCTTTTCACATCCTGTAAAAGATTCCGTAGATCATCTAGGTGGAAACTCAATATCATTTGTAAAGAGTTTGATAATGGGCTGTCCCATGGAACTCACCTCTGGTGGTGCAGCACAAAGCATGTAAAAACAATGGTAGTTTCTCTCTGGGTCTGAGACTTGGCAAACACGTGACCTTTCAAGAAGATATGTCCTAACTGCAGCCCCAGAAATCTTCGCGTGCTTATCAAACTGAATTTCAACAAATTTACCAAAACGACTGGTACAACGACTCAGTCATGTCAATTTTTTGTAGAGGGAGAATATGACAATCAAAATGAATATAATAATGATAAAATCTCTGATGTCATTTTTGGTTTACCTGGAATTGTTGTTTTTCACAGTCTTTGCATTCCCAAATGCTTCTAAAACTGGGTTGGACTGAAAAAGAAGAAATATGAATTTGCATTTGCATTTGCATTGTTTAACTTGTAGATCATTTGAGTATAGTAGTAAAGAGCAATATTGCCCACCTCCAAAACTTGTTGCTCGACTGTTCTTCCTTCAGTGCCAGACCTTCCACCCATAAATGCGAGATATCTCATTAACATTTTCGTTGTCTCAGTTTTACCAGCACCACTCTCTCCACTGACCAAGATAGACTGGTTGCCATGCTCATTTATCAATGCCCTGACAAACTTGTTAGATTAGGCAAGTTATTCATTTCTTGCATGGCATAACCAAATTCAGTTGCTCTTCTCATTTACCTATAACAGGCATCTGCCACTGCAAAAAGATGTGGACTTAGCTCTCCAAATGGGGCTCCCTTGTATTGCTGCATCATATGGGTATCATACAGATGTGGAAGTCTCCGAAATGGATTAACCGCAATCAGGATATTCCCTGTGTAAGTCTGCAAAATTTTGGATATTTTTATATCAATAAGACTTGTTTTCTGTAGCTACTCTTTGTGAAGTTCATCATCGACTGAAAAGTATGACTTACATATATCTCATTTAGAGAATACCGACAAGCAAGGTTATTCAGAACGCCAGGCTCATGGAGATAAGCTAACTTGGTCATGTCATCAACCCCAGATGGTGGTGCTTCGGTATCCTTTGGGTATATGCTAGAAATAGAAGCAACTGTCTGAAGCAGAAAGTAGTTCAATGGCTTAATATAATTAGATTTTCATTGTTCGCATCTTGAAAACTTTAGTTTGTAGAAGTCGTGATTATTGCATCCTAAAAATATCAAGGGGCACATTCCTAGATCTTCATAGCAGAATATACCTATCATGAAAATCATTAATACATCTGCTTAAGGCAAAAGGAAAAGCTGCATAAGCCGTCCTACAGGTATGAATTCTCAATTCGATTGTCTTACAAGAATGTGCAACAGGAGACAGGAAAAAAGTCCTTCGTTGTTTTATATCTGATTGATCATATTGCACTATTAGATTCCTATTTGTTCCATGACCAATTCCATTTTTAGGGAACTTCTATTCCAGGTTGTACCAATAAGCTTATAAAAGCTAATAAGGTCCTAATTTTCATATACTATACAGTACAACTTTGATATTATACTATATCTACTTTTTGACACGAATATTGTTCAGAAAATCCTTTTTTTTGCAATCATATTATATTCCCTGAAAGATGCTATCAATATCAAATTTTTGTCAGGCTCTGAACTTATTGATTAGAATAAGACTGCTTACCGTCTTCCCATTAGTTGTGGCTACTGTGGCATTTGAGCCTTTAATTTCTGTGACTTCTCCATCAATCCAGGCATCATCAGGATCCTCAATCCACACCTGGGATCCAACTATGATGTTTACAGGAGTTCCCTGAATCACAAAAGATTATTACAGAGGTCAACAATTGATAAGTCCTTCATCAATTAAAACAGAACAAGATAAACTATTGATCATAATAAACAAGCTCACCATGGCAGTAGTTGAGACTATTTGATCATGGAACTCAAAGGAGAATTGTTATAAGAGATCGATGAATTGATATAGAGGGAGAAAAGGAAGAAGGGAAGAGAAATGAATTTCAGGGAGAATGTGGTGCTCTTAAGGGAATGATGAATAGATGAATGTAGAAACAGGAAAGTAATAAAAAAAGTGAAAAAAAAAAAGAATGTTTCAAAGCAGGCTAAAAGCAGAGGTAATGAAGATGGTGTGGTAACTCAAAAGCAAAAGGCAGAGTAATCACCCCTTCACCATCCCCTTCCCCACCTCCTGTCATCTTTTATTCCTCCAATTCCACATAGGATGCTGACTTGGCAGCTATACAACTTTGATGTACAGAAACTTCTGCTACTTTTGGGTTGTCTATTTGTGTTAAATACATTGCTTAAATATAAAGGAAAAATCATTTTCCAATTGGTACCTTAATATAATAGTTCGTTGTTTTTATTTTAAGATTTATTCTCTATCTATGACTTATGCTATGCAGTGAAGGGCCAGGGTGTTTATAATGATGCTGTGCATTACCAAAAGCACTGTGTGTTGGACCAGGTCTGATTAATGCATACAAACTATAGTTAATATATGACTGATGGTGGTCTCTTTTTGCATAATTGCTGGCTTTACTTTCTCTTAAATCAATAGGGTGTTTAAAGATGATTAGATCTAAATGTACTACTGAAATGCCCCACTTAATGCCTTAGCTACCCCATCTTAACTGGGCTCTCTACTTTCACCTGTTTCTATCCTCTTTTTTTTTCTTCAGGTTAACTTTTTTACCACCTGGGATCTCTGTCAAATTCAGCAGCAGGCAGGTATTATTACTATGATAAAAAACTTTCAATATTCTCTAAACTTCTTTATAAATATTTTAAGATTTATGTTGTGGATTTTCTCATAGTTACACCAATTCTTGATATATTTTTTCCATTTTGATCTACAATTGATTTCAAGATTTTCCAAAAGTTTCAGCTTTACAACATTAGCATTCAGTTCTTTTCACTTATTTTAGCTTTTACAACATAGGAATGGGCAAAATCTTGAAATACCAGACAATCCTACTGAAAGGTGTCAATGAAGGATCAAAAAAGGTAAAAAGCATGGGGATTGTAGTTGTAGAAAAGAAAATGTACAGAAGCTAAAAAAGGTAGCTGCCACTACTAGTTCACCTTAAAAACTCAACTATTATTCATTTTGGTAAAACATGTTATAACATTTTAAGAAGTATTAATGGACTAGAAATGATAGCTCAGACAAATACTCTTTTATGATTTAAGACTGTTAAATTAATCTTTTATTTGTAGTGTACCAAAACCTTAGAAAGACAGAGTTTATGGGGTATGGGTGGATGGGGGGGGGGGGTCCCTCCTATTTTATTTTTTTTGCCTTATTGAAATAACTCACCAATATTTTGGACTGACTAGTCATAGGAGGAGGCTAAAGATTATGAGTTTGGAAATCTATTTCCATTCATTTAGGGCGGTGGGGAATTGAGATTTGTTCGAGTCCTTTCACATGGGAGAAAAGGTTGTCATGTTGGGTCCCTTCCAACTAAGCTTTCTTCATTCCCTCCTTCTCTTCCTTTATTTTATATATAATTAGTGGAGAAAAAGTGGAATATTTTTGTTAAAAGAGTTGGCAATTACTACTTTTCTTAATCCTTTAACTAGTTAAATGTTTTTTGTATTAAATTGACTATTAAACTGTATTAATACTAGGGCTTGCTGTGGTTGTTATCATAATATTTATGTATTTTAATCGATTTTTCGTTTATGTTAGAATATACGTTTCTTATAACAATATTTCGTTACCTTGTTTCGATAGTTATATCGTACTATTAATTTTAATATCACGTTACGTCATTGTTTCTCTAAATTTTTGTTGTATCGTATTATTTTTTACTTTTTTTGGGTTAAAATTGTATCGTACTGTTGATGAAAAATTTGTAATGGAAAAACAAGAATGCTTATAGAATCTTTGCCGCCCTGTGGACGGTGCCTAATTGGTAGGCCTCTTTGGAATGATTATTGGCATAACACAAATACTATTATTTTCATTTATCTTAGGTTCGAGTTTTGAGTGTGGAAAAGTTCTTGTTAGGAAGTCTTTATCGAATAGAATTTTATATGACCTGAATCTGAATATAATCGAGTTTCAATATGAATATTGAACATTAGTTAGAAAAATAACAAACAAACATTATTTTGTATAGTTTTGGTTTTTCACTCCTCCATCTTTTACACAACCTTTTCACTATCAATAAAAATAGAGGGTTGAATCAATAAATATTGAGAAAATTTTAAAGTTTTTTTGTGTTTAAATAAACAACATATATATATAATTATTAGAGTGGTTTTGCAATAGAATTAGTTGCAAAGTTGGTACTACTAAAACATCTATAATAATAACAAATTTTGTGGGACACAAAATATGTGTGGGTTTTTGTGTGTAGTGTCGGCACGAATACTTTTTAAATATGATTTTTGAGGAAAAATATACTTTATTTAAAATATTGACTGATATAAGTTTTACGAAGATATTTAATTTTTTTAAAAGCTAGTCTAAAAAGTAAAAACATTTCTTCCTCTCTTTTTTCTTTTTCTTCCTTTTATAATGTAATAATATGTCCTACTGAAGTATTAATAGTATTTTTTTTAAGAAAATGAAAAAATCAATCCAATTTATATATTTTTATTTTTTTGTTGGTCTTATGAGTAGTCATTGACTCTCCCCAGCCACTAGCTAAAAAGAAATATAAAAGTTGTAAGAAAATGATGTCACTGTTATATCCTTTAGATAGTGAAACTTAATATTTCAATTTGTCAAAAAATATTCCTTCAATTTTAATATTTTTAATATAATAAGTATTGATGGGTTTCATGGCCAATTGTTTGAATAATTTAAAATTTTGTACCATGTCCAATTAACCTTGTAATTTCATACGTTGTGCCTTCATCTAATTTTTATTTCATAAATATTTTAGTCATCATATACCTTAGGAATTTATTTAGAAGATTTTTTTATTTTTTATTTATATAAAGAACGATAAGTATAATTAAGAAACATGAATCTAGTGAAGCTCAATTATAAGGGGCCAATAATATTCCTGTTTCTTTCTGAAGATGAAATAAGGTGCAATTATTTTCGACATTTAGGTACACTATTATTTGGAAATGAATAGTATGATGTGACTGGGTTTATTAAGCGAAAAAATTCAAATATGTCATTACATTTTGAGAAAATACTTATTTATGTCATGCATCAAAATTTTGGCTCATTTATATCATTTTTATTTGGAAAAAAAATTCGTTCATATCATTATTTGTTAACTGAATTTGTCTTTAAGAAAGCAATTTAGTTAATATCTTGGTCGAATCATAGTTGACCGTGTATAAAAAAAGATTTTGCAAAACAATTTTCAATTAGAGTGGAATATAAATGAGCTTTTTCCCTTTTCTTTAAAATACAAAATGGAAATAAATTGGGATGACATTCACCAAAGGTACTAATTACTTCAAAATGAAGTGAAATGAAATACAATATTGTTCATGTGAATAATAATAAATAGTTATATTTCATAAGAGCTACTACAACTTAAATTAGATATATAATTAAAGAATGAATAATTGAGTGATGGGGGTAGAAATAATGGCTGACGAACAAGTTATATAAAGATTAATACAAGGATTAAAATATAGATATTATATAATCATCAGATTTTTAAATTTAAATGAACGTGTCTAGTACTCATCAAGTGAGATGGACATTCAGAATTTAGCCTTTTTTTTATCCTAATTTTTTAAAATATATTTTATAAATCGTCAATTATTGTGATTTATAATATCTTTTATGTAGTTTTTTATTATTATTTTTTTTTTTTAAGATTTCATTCTAAATTGATGATTAAACTTAAAATGTTTAACTTTCGAAATTCAAACTGTGTCACATAAATTAAAACATAAAAAAATATTTTTCTAACTAGAAGCACTTTATATTGTTGAACGAATGATTTTGCTTAACTTTATCTTTATGCAAAAATTATATTGTATTTTAACAAATCAAATTTCCATTTCATCGTATGCTTTTCTGGTTGTTAGGATTTGTTGAAAAGATATGGCAAGAAAGTGGAGGTCAACAAAGTAACTCCAATATAAATGTCATATCTATATAGAAATTATAAATTTCATATCAATTAAAATAATATGATCATCACTTCATCGTGCATTTTTAAGGAAAAAAATGATATTCTTTATTATATTTTTTTTAATATAAAAATAGTAGCTATTTTAATCATTAATATCAATTTCATATGGTTCAATATCCTTGATCAATCTATCTCAGCAATTAATCCAAAAGGTAAAATGATTTTACTCATGTATGGTAGGCTCATAATTCATATATAGTCCATGGGTTAAATGGATGCTTAATTGTATAGAACAAGTTAGTCATCTTTTTATTTTATTTTTTCTATTTAGTATTTGGTATTCGCATTGGAGTAAGATTCATGTCGCGTAAAGCCCTAGAAAGTGCTTTCTATCAAAAAAAAAAATTTCATACATAAAATTCAAATATAAATTCTTTAATTAAAAAAAAATAACCTCATCTGTTGCACCACATCCTTTTGTATCAAAGTTAGGTACTCATAATTACAAGTCATAACTCATAAGTGGGCTTGAAAAAATTTCATTATACTACTCATTCTATTATAATTTATGTAACTCTTTTATTTTTAGTCTAAGTTCAAATAGAACGATATCCTTTTATATTTAATAATATTTTAATTTTTAATTTTTAATTTGATTTTTAATTATATGATTTATATTAACACAAATATATATGATCGATTTTAGATCATAAATTTTAAAAAAAATTACTTTAATTATTAATTTCTTACTCAATCAAATCAAACATCAATGATGATGGATGGAACAACATTATGAGAATATTAGACAAAATATCCATTAGATCAAAATTCTTTTACCTAAAATAGATGGCGGAGCTTTTAGATGACTCTCCTGTTCCTTTTCTTCTCCAATTATTTTATTATTTTTTTGTTAATATTCTCCAATATACAATTAATTTCAATTGAAGATTACTCCTTTTCTTCTTATTTATGTAATAAAAAAATCGGATTCGAACATAATATATATATATATAAAAAAAATTGTCGATTGATACATAAGTAAATAAATTAATCATGATTTAGGTAGGTTGGAATCGAAAAAAATAAGCTTGTTGAAGAAGATAAATTATTGCAATTAAATAGTGTATATAGATATTTATACATCTATAACTGTATACATGGTTATATGTCATATATACATGATTATACACTATTTAACAAATATCGATACATCTCATGTTCATGCGACTATTTAATTGAATTTTTTCACACAATATACATACACTTACATAAGAAGCTCAGGGACCGTTTGGTTGGAAACAAGTTATCCCACGATTAAGTACATGAGATAACTTATTCCATCAGTATGATATAAATGGTGAAATAAGTTATTTCAAACATGACAACCAAACAAGACTCAAATTTTTTTATTCCATCTCTATTTTTTTACATCCTTCGTACCAAACGACCCCTTACATTATCTAATAGGGATTAAAAGAAATTTCTAAAAAAAGAAGTGAAAAGAGTGACAGAAGTGAAAAAGAGTTTTTGATTTGTCCCTAATGTGTCAATGGAACAATAGTACTTTCATAGGAAAGCCTAGTAGCATACTTCTACTTCCCCCTACTGTGAAGTCATGCCCCTCAAAAAAAAAAAGGTGTGTCTGGTTCATTTAAACGAGCAATGCGGTGTTTGATTATGAATTTTTAATTTTTTTTGAATAATACATTTAATTATAACTTTTTTTTAGAGTATTTAGGTATTTGAAAAGTAATAAGTAACTTCAATTCGTATTCATGGCCAAATACAATTCACTTTTCAAACTTTACTTTTTTCACTTTGAAGAAAAAATTGTCTTCTTCTTTTTTTCAAATTTCACGGTGGAACATGGTCACACGCCTGCTAAGGGGTCGTTTGGTAGAGTGTGTTAGTAAAATAATGCATATATTAACTTTGTGTATTAGTAGTCCCTTACATCAGTTATACATTATTTTATCGTGTATTGGAGAATGCACTATTAATACCATGAAATTCTAGGTATTAGTAATGCAAAGAGATTTAATACATGCACTAGCATGCTTAAAAACTCAATTACCCCTCAAAAATACTTTTACATCTTTACCATCATAATTATGAAGGATATTTTTATATAATGCATACTATTTTTAATACATCAAATGAAATAATGTATAAAAAATAATATATACATAACTAACGCAAGTATTGTTACTATGATCTATTGAATATTATTTTTATACACTCTACCAAACGACCCGTAATATTTAAACAATTGTTTGTCTTACTACTTCCTCTCCCTGTGTTTCAATTTGTTTATCTTACTTTTCCTTTTAGTTTTTTTTTAACGAACTTTTTAATTCTAAACTTTCTATATAACATGTTTGATATCACAAAATTAAACGAATATTTTGATTCATTAATTTACACGTTTTTAGTTTAAACTACAAAATTCAAAATTTTTTTTTTATATATTTTCTTAAACTCTCTTTCAAGTCAATCTCCGACTAATAAATCCAAAACGGTTTTGATATTTTAGAAAAAAAATAAAATACCTTTTTTTTCTAACTACCGTTGCTTCTCAATTCAAAATCCATGTTTTGTTTCTCGATCTTAATTTGCAATTTTTCTTCGTTTTTATAC